CAGGTTTGAGAAGCATACATACACCAAAATAGGCCAAAACTTCAAAAAAGCCGCCTTCGGGTTTTTTTTACGCTAAATTTAATATCTCTCAAAAATATTGTTGCAAGCCAAAAATTCATAGTTTTACTTGCAAAGGCTCATACATGCCGTATTTACCTGGGTGAGAGCAGCCCAGCGCAGCTTTGGCATAAACCGGAAAACAATTCTTTTCTCCATCTCTAACCATGCAAAAATTAGCAAATCTACAGATAAATACAGGAATCTAATTAGAAATTAAAAGTTGATAATTATGTAATCTACAGATATAACCGTTATGGAGAGGTACATGCCTGAGCAAGTGGGAAGTTTATAGGAATTTTTTAGAAAGATATGCAATTTTTTTTCGACTTTCCGAACATTTAGATCTCTTCTTATTGTTAGATATCAGCTTCGAACTCTATATAGAAAAAAACTTTGAGCAAATTTTCGGGTGCTGTCTTGTAGAGCTATCTTTGCTCTGTTAATGGTATCCCATAACCTATTCAAATAACAAAAAGAATATGAGTTATTGTGGGAGAAAGTAAAACGGTAAAAAAAATCATGGGACACCCTGATACCAATGGCGGTCCCAAATAGCGACGCCCTCAAAAAAATTTTTCACAAGGTTGTATTTTTAGAGTTAAAAATTATTTTAATCATTTACAAAAATAAACAAGTCATCTGCACATTTTTATAATCCATGAAAGTGAATTTGAATACTCGCCTCCCCCCACCCCTACCTTCGGTCGCCACTGCCTGATAAATATTTCTTTACGCCATTCACTTTTACTGGGATGAAAATCTTTGTGAAGTTGTTTATTGTTTCATTTGCTATTTAAAGAAAATAAATCTTTTGGTGGCTTTTTTCCAAAATTATCGCGAATTTACATATAATTATTAATTATTAATTCTACAATTTATATATACGGCTCTACTACTGAAACAACTTCCATGAAAATTTACTGTTTCATACGCTGCTGAATTTGTTAAACAACTAGGAAGATTTTGATCCTCATCTTGTGCAGTACCACACTTCCCTAATTGCAGTGACCTTATGTTTGGAGTTGTGCGAAAGAGAATCTTTCTCACTCATAGATTACGTTACATTAGCCCCACAGGCCTGTGGCAGTGGAAGTCAGGATTTATTATCTACACACACTACGGCTTGCCCCTATGCACACCATCATCCATCTGCCTCATTCATTTATCATCGCTAAGTAAATGTTCAAGTAGTACTTCAGTTTGCAGTAACAGCGTGTTGCAGAGATTTTTGTTGAGAATAAAAATTAAATGACGTCATACTTTTGTAATCTTGTACTTAGGCTGAAATAAAATCATAATATAGACAAAATCGCTGACCGCATTGAATTTTTGCAATCAAAAAGGTTTTTTTTTCTCAAAACCTCTCTACTGCTGATTTGAGTTAGATTTTATTGCTTGTCCTCTCATAAAGAAATTGAGCACAGTCTCAGACAATTTACCGGAACTTCCTCAGGATAAGCGAAATTTGCAGCGGTTCCACACGATTTTGTTTACTATGGCAGAGTGAAAACGTTGAAAACGAGAACTAGGACTTTTTACAAAGCGCTGCGGAACTTCCGAAAAATGCCGGCGGTTTCGCAGCACTTTTACATGCCAGTACTTCCGCAGGGTTTTGAATGTGCTGTCTCGTATGATGTTTCCGCCCAACAACTAGACTGCATTTTCGAAGATGTAATCCGTAGTAGAGTTTATAGTAGGTGAGTCTCACAGTCAATAAAGTAAGGTTCAAATTTGGCCTGGGTGTTCTCTTTTGCCGTTGTGATTCGCTTTCTTCGGAACTTCCGCAACACTTTGGGAACTTCCGTAGCACATTTACGGAACTTGCGCAGGTAATCCGGCGAACTTTGCCAAACGTTCAGCGGAATTTCCGGTCAGTTGTCTAAGGTTTGGTTCATCTTACCTACTCATCAAAAGTTGCGAAAGGGTCACTGTTGAGAAAGTATGCAGAACAGAATTTTTTCAGAATCTCAAATCTTCTTTTGCGCCAGATGTCTTCAAGAATATGGAATTATCACAAGGTGACTGTAATAATGCAAAGTATTAAAGTAGCTCTAATAGCTCTTCAATCATCGATTCTTGAATCAATCAATTTTCAGCACAATCTGAGACTGTATGTTCCCCCTCCCAAGAATAGATCGCGAAATTTTTGAATGTTACTTATAGGAGTTATAAAATGTGCAAGTGACTTGTTCATATATTTGTTAATTGTTGAAATAATTTCTATAACTTTAACACTATAAACCAGGGCTCGGCACAAGTGGCTTATAAGCAAGCTGCACATCGTTTTTGGGACCAAAAGCAAAGGGGGCTTTGTTTTGTGGCCGAAGAAACACAAAATTCGCGACGTTTTTTTAGTCGACGTTTCGTTTTTTGGATCCTTTCTAGGATTACTGCCTAGGGTCAAAGCGGACTTCGTAAAAACTCGCAAAAGTCGAGGGGGACTTCGTTTTTTGCATTTTCAACTAGCCATCTAGTGCCAAGCCCTGTACTAGACATCTTTACAATTCTCCCTGTCATATTCGTAGTGAGAATTTGCAATTTTTAATGCCTATCATTGAACGGTCTTGAATGACCACAAAAAAAAATTCTTTCAGAACTTTTATCATAACGCAAATTGCAAATATGAAGAGCTACATATAACACTATCCGATCAAGTCTATTGCGTAGCTACTTTTTTTCGTTTCCCGACGGCTTTTCTTTATACTTGATTTTTGGACTTCAATCCAAACACTTGAAATTTTGAACTTCTTGCGGTTAGGTGAATGTAATTGAGACTTACAAGTGACACCTTTTTTGTGATCTTAGCAATTTGCCAGTTTTCTGGTGTTTTTTCGCATCAGCAATCATTATCACACCTAATTTTAATGGCGTTAATCACGATCATTTATGGTTCACGACATGAGTACATATAAACTTTCATTTAATTGCGTCTTACATGCCTTTTTAATATTTCCAGCTTTCTTCTAAAATTTTGAAGCGGAATAAGTAACACTTGAATATTGTGCAATATTAATGTTTCTTGGCATAAATACAGGCTCAAATTGATCTACGGTCAGGAGGTGAAGTTAGAAATTTCGCAAATTATGCAGTTGGATCCTTTAACGTTTTTTAGTTTTTTGTTGTAAGTGAATAACTCATAATTTCTAAAAGCATCTATGGCTAATTCCTTTCAAAACTGCAGAAAATGCAGGAATTTTTCGAATTTCTAACTCAAGAACTCCTAAAAACGCTGAAATTCATTGCCTTCCATTGTCTAGAAATCCATATCTTGTAATTTATTAGCTTGTCAAGGATGGTGTCTAGAATTAATGACAAAGTTTGAAAAAGAAAGATTGGTAGCGGATTTCTTCATAAAAATAACAAATCGCCAGCGATTCTAGAAATGTGCTGTTCCTGGATTTGAAGCGTTAGGAACTATACCGTCATCTGTGGACTTTTATGGCATTTCCACCTCTCAATCCATTTCCAACCACCACTTTGGAGTCAAGATAAAAAGGAAATATATCAAAATGCAATATAAAAGAAAAAATTTGTTTTGGCAATCGTTTACCTTGCCTGATTATTGTTTGCAAACTCCATAACTAGCTTTTAATTTCCTGACTACCTTTTTAAGCTGGAGAAAATTAAGGATGCAACGCACAGAGGAGTCGAAAAATATTTGTGCTCATATAGAAGCAGTATTTTTTTGTTAAGAAATATCAAATTTTATTGGGAGCGGAGGATTTTTTGAATAGTAAATTCATGAAAAAAGACCACAAAAGAAAAAATTCATTTTCCTATCTCGCGGAATGCCAAGGCAACTTCTACTTCAAAGAAAATCTGCGGTGCTTGAAAGTTCCTCAAGTTTGAAGAGATCATCAACGAAACGGGTACGAAATTGTAAAAAAGGTTTTGTTTCCTCTAAGAAACAGGAAATCTTTTGTCAGAACTTAAATATTGTATAGGAGCAGGAAATTTGCTAATAATTGCTTCCAATGGCGTTACAAAGTCGAGCAGTCTAAGTGACAAAGTTTCTCTTATGAAAAAAATTCTAAGCTGCTCAGTCTCAAATAGAACTTCTCTTCTTTATTTGAAAATTTTTGGATCAAGAATTAAGGCCAAAATTTATTGAAAACTTTTTGCAGCCGCCTAGAGATTTTTTATATATACAAATTTGTGATCTTCTAAATAACAAATGAGACTTTCTCAGTTGGCTCAAAGAATTCGCAAATCACGCCAACCAAAAAAAATTTTTCTTTAAGGAAAAAGTAATCGAAAGCGAGTTTTTCAATGAACATGCAAATTTCATTAAAAAAAACTTTCAAAAAAGTGTCGAATATTGTTGTGCCGAACAGGTTGTTAGGTGGTCCTTTTAAAGGAAAAGGACCACCTAACAACCTGTTCGGCACAACAATATTCGACACTTACGATTATGCCCAGGTTTAATGATTACGGAACATGGAAATTATTAGAAAACTTTCAAAAAATTTCCTGTTTTAAAAAATGTTGAAGAAAAATTCTTCGCCTGGTCGGGGTTTGGATGCGTGGAATTCTCGCCGAAATAGTTTCTTAAAAAGAGTTGGAAATGTATATATACTTAACTCAGGAGTTTTTTACCTCTTATTTACTCTCCCGCCCCCCCCCCCCTCTCCCCTCTTCTAAGATTTTTTCATCTCTCAGTATTACTCTTTACTCTCAACTTACCCATATCCACTCTCCCATAACCCTACCCCCGACTCGCAATCGATATCCACCCCATAACGGTTAGATCGGCGATCGTATATCATTTTTATATGTATTCGGGCGTAGAGGTCCGCCCGCCGCGGGCCACGCATTCGCCTCTGCTCGTCGTCGTCGCGCCGCACCCAACTCGCCCCCCCCCCCCGTGTCGCGTGGTCCCGCCCCGTCGTCGCGGCGCCGTGTGTGTGTGTTCAGTCGGTGTCTCACAGCGTTTTGACTTCAGATGTGCTGAGACGATTCCGGAGAGGAGAAGAGACGATGGAAGAACGATTGGAAAACATCCGAAGGGTTCCCCGTCACCCCGCCACCACTTTGGTCCCCTCAGCACATCGGCCACCTATTCTATTGCTGCTATTGCTACGAGTGCTGCTGCTGACAGATTTTATGGTCCTTGCTGGTCCCACCGATCGGGTGGTGGTCGGTGAGAGTGTGGACCTGATTGTTTCGCATGGACGACAGACTGAACAACGATTGTTTGGCTCATTTTCACCAGCTGGGCTCAATTATGAAGTACAAGGAGATGTTGTTCAGGTAGGACATCCCTAATTTTGCACTGGAAAAGTCTTGATAAAATGTTTTTCTTACAACTAAAAGTCGCGAAAAATTTTCTGACTTGGTTTTTTGACATTTCGAAGGTGCCAATGACTTTTTACCTACTTCAAATGTTACTTTCGTGGGGTAATCCAAACATCTCAAATATAAATAACCAATTGGATAAATTTTGTAATCTTCTTTTATGCCTTTGGTAGAGTTTTTTTCAGTTTCAGGGTATAAATGTAATACTATCCTTCCCTTTTTTTTACAGAAAATTGAATCTTATAATCTAGTCCATTAGGCAGAGGAAATCTAACCCATTGTTTGGGGTAGACCATGACTAGGAAGAAGTTGTTCATGATACCGGAAAAATTGTACTCGAGCTTTTTTGGGTTTTTTAAACTTTGTTTTTTTTTGCTTTATCGTCTGAAATCTTTTCGTTTTTGCTAGATCCCTTGTAAGTATACCGAAAAAGTTTTCGGGCATTTATTCGTTTTTATCTTCAACGACTCACAAGTTCAAGAACTCGAAGCACTTCCTCTTTTTTGAGCCCCAAGTACTTCCTCCTTTTTTTTACCGAAGACCAAATTGGAGTTCCCTCCGAACTTCTGTTCTTTTGTCTCGCGGAAGTTCATCACGAAGCTCAAGCAAATTTACTAAGTATAAGCATTATTTCGTAGGGCAAAATTACCATATAATTCGTTTCCTAGCCGAAAAGGAAAGGTGGACAAGTTCTTGGATTTATGGGTCCAACATGAGTTGAATCTTTGATGGCAATCTCAATGATTCTGAATCTGAATCTCAATGTTTCGATGGCAGTCTTTTCAAATTTGAAAATTATGGAGAAAATTATTACAACTAATCATTATATTTTTTCACAGATTATATTCTTTATGCAATTTTAATGTATTCATTTTGATTACTATTCCTTTCTCACGGAAACTGATAATTTATCAGCTTGAAAATTGCATGTAACTTGCAGACTACTCGAAATTACAATAAATATAAGCTCGAAAAGTTTGAAATTTTTTGATCGTTTGATATTGCCGTGATTTTATGATTTATGTACATTTCTTGATTCTCATTCTGTGTTGCATTGGAAATTTTCGAATGATAAAACCCGTATATAATCCACAATCCATGCATATCCGGACACGAGATGAAATATGATCCTAATATTCCTTGCACAGTTTTTTGCATATTTTTCTTCTAGCGAATGTCATGAGTTGGAATCACACCATTAGCTCAGAATCTGATATCCATTGCTAGAAATATTCACACTTGGAGTTCCTTGCTTTTTGGCAAAGGCTGGAAACTAATTCAAGTTTTTACCCTCTGCTTTTCATTTGCAATCTCTCGCCCAACCGCAAAACTTCGAAAAATTCCACTTCCCGACTCCATTTGAGGTGATTTATCTTGTAGAACAACATTTCTCTATTCCATTTCGTCCGGGCGACGACGAAAAGGGAGAATTCCTGTTCGCCCCCACTCGACAATGTGTTCATAAATCCTCTCGAAGAGGCTGTAAATTTGACAGTTAGGGCAATTAACTCCCACCTGTACTGTCTTCGATTCGTATTTCCGTTCCTTTTGCTGCTTAATTACTCTGTAACACCTGTGTGCGGTCCCGGTTATGTTGTTGTGTGACTTATGAAGGTTCTTGAGGTCATTTCCTGTCACTCGGGGTAATTCGGCTACATCTGGATTAGAATGGGATTAACGCGTCGAAGGACTGGGGAGTAATTTGAAAAGCCTAAAATTTGAAATTCGCGCCATGGTTGGGGCGATGCCTTGGTGCTAAATGCGGGTTTAAGCTAATTTTGATGGACTTTTGCAAAGCAGTCAAGGACTTGGCTATCTGCCAAACTACCATAGGACTACTGTAGAAGGGAAAAGAGGCTAGTATTGCCCCCGTTCCCTCCCCCTCATCTCCTTCCCGTTCCGAACTATGCTGCGCGTACCTTTGTTGGCACTCGATTGATCGGCCCCATTAATCTTCCAGCCGAACACTGTCTTCATGGGTGGCACGAACGTTTTTTTGTGTCAGAAGAGACGAACCTCCGCGCAAGGGTTACGGTATGTGCCAGATGCCCCTCCTAGAAGATGACGATGCCAGCTGTGGTGGCGGTGGCGCGGCTTGTCTTTCGGTGTTCGAAATGAAACTCTAGAGAGGGGGGGGGGGGGGAGAATGGATTATGATTACTTGGCCAGGTCCAGGACGAGTAAGTAATACACAGTCAGGAACAGGACGAGTTAGATCATCGTTGACCAGAACGAGGACGAGTTGTGTCAATTGTTTCAAGACCAGGACGAGTTTTCTCATTCTTGACGAGACCATTGCATAATTTGTCATTCTTGAACACGGCCAGTTCGAGTTCTGCCATCCTATCAGGACCAGGACGAGTCGTATCACATTTGTAAAGGACCAGGACGAGTTGTGCATTCTCGATTAGGACTAGGACGACCTGTACGATCTCTGAGCAGGATCAGTACGAGTTGTGTCAATTTTAACCAGAACCAGGACGAGTTCTGTCATTATTGTCCAGGACTAGGGCAAATTGTGTTATTTTTGACAAAGATGAGTATTCTTATTCTTGATTAAGACCCGGGCGAGATTTACCATCACTAGGGCCAGGACGAGTTGGTCATTACGTCCGGACTGGGACGAGTTGTAGCATCCAGGAGGATGTAACATTTTGTGCAGCACCAGGACGATTTTATTTTTGAATAAAACCCGGATGAGCGGTGTCAATCTTGACCAGGACTAGGACGAGTTGCATTTCCTCCTCCTCCCCCCCCCCCTCCCGATGCCGTATTGTTTTCGTCAAAAGTTCTCCAGCGCTGAGTAATCGAAAGCTCGCCATTGTTACCCGCTTCGCATGCTCTTGTTAGCCAAAGAAAAGGTCATGGACGAGTTGTCCCGCTTTTTTTCCGGTTCAGATGAATCATAGCTCGTCTTCCTGCACCAATGCTGCAAAGTTTTCGGAAGACGTCACCCCCCCCCCCCCTCTCTTCTCGATGACGGCGGCCAGTCCTTGCCCGGACATTCCGGGCGGTCCGACACGGCCATGTTTCATCGGCATCCGAGTAAAAGCATTAGGTTGTTGGTCGTTTGTCAATAGGCACAAGCCCCGAGGGGTCACTCAGCGCCCCACACACAGACACAGCGAATCGAGTAGCGTAATTCTTCAAGAAATGGGTGGTCGGTGGAAAAAAAGAGGTCCTTGGTGGGAAGGTAAGATGGCCGAGGAAAATTTGCACTGAACGGAGAAGATTCCAAACAGGAGACTATAGCTGCGAACAGTAACGGGAAAGCTTGCAAAAAAAACAATTTTTCAATTTTTTATTTGCTTTTCTGACTTTTCCATTTGATAATTCGAAATCACTACAAACAAATGATTTTACTGTAATCATCTTGGAAAAAGAATTGTTCATTTGTTAGTGGCTCCATTCCAGATCCGTCGTAAAAATCATTTATAGCTGGACCACTGCTCTGTGATGTCATCCCTCCCCCCTTATTTCACTTCCCCCCTCTCCCTTCACCGCTTTTATTAGTTCACAATTTTTCAATTCATTATACAAAATTTTTTTCAGGGCGTTTCCGTGTTCTATGCTCCATTTAGTATTACAAAAAGCGCAGATCTAAAAGAATTAGGAACCTCCTTTTTTGCAATTTTTTTCTCATTTTGAACGTTCTTTTTCTGCAAGGAAAAGGAGAAAAAAGTTACGCTGCTCGTTTTTCAAACTGCAGATTCTTAAAAAAATTATGGAAGAAGCATTATGTCCTACCACGAAAGTGAATCTACTTTTGACATTTCTATACTGTGTTGAATAGGTTGAATTTGGACCCCCTCCCCCCTCTTCACACCCCCCCCCCCTCTCCTCCTCCATCACGCTAGGGATTTTCCAAAGCTTAAACAGCAAAAATAATCAGCAGGTTAATTTCGAATTTTCAAAAGCTATCAAAAAAGTTTACAAAACTGTTTTTACGCTGAAAATGCTCGTTGTAGAAATTTTTGGAAGTTTCCATAGTTTGTTCAATGATCTACTTCGTAGTGAATTTGATTTTAGTTAATGGTACCTTTGACTACCTTTGCTTATTTCATTGTCATCCTCTTTTTTTGCGCAGAAAAAACCCCCGAACGAGATTGAATTGCAGATTTTTTCTTTGCATTTTTGAAGCTGGTTCCAACCCGAAAGCCTTGTCCTTTGTCTTCTCGAATTCCACCTGTTTCCATTTCTCCTCCTCCCCCCCCCCCCACAAGTCTTGTTTTTTATTTGTTTACTGTCATAATTCGAGGACACACAAAAGCGGCTCATTGTTGAGTTCGTCGGAGCAAGCTGGAGGGGGGGGGGGGGAGGGAGAGGAGAGCGCACTTCTCTACAAACAGCGGGAAACGGACCCATTCGTATAATGGACGTCTGAAAATTGGATTAAGCTGCGTTTCAATGGCAAACCGACTCGGAGCCTCGTTGAGACGGCGCGACGGAGAAAAAGAGCCGGGGTGGACCCCCCCCCCCTTCCGAAAACCCCGGCTCGGCGTGTCCAAATTACTACGCACAACATCGATACATACACACAACGCAACATAACATAGTCGCAAATTAGGTCTAAGGGACCCCTAAACGTCAACAGAACTCGTCCCAGGGGTCCTTTTGGAAATTTTTCATCATTTGCCGAAAGAACATTTGCAAAGGAGCACAAATTAGCGCCGGCCGAAGTGGTGTCCTTTTAGCCCCGGCAATGAGAGAGAGAAGTAATCGTAATGGACGAGCGGCGACATATGCGAGCGACGTCGTTAACGTCGTCGCACGGCGATTTATTGGCGATCGTTCAAATCGCGCTGCGATCGTTAACGACTGCACACCTGGCCATGGGCACTCAAAGACATGTTCCCCCTTCCAGTGCCGACTCGATTCTTTCTGGGGGTTTTGAGGGGGAAAGAGAAATGTTGAGATATATTTGGTTAAATTTCTGGGATTTTCATCCCTGCTGAAGATTTTTAGAACTAGAAATAAAATAAAAGAAACAACGGACTTTGCAAAGGACGACGTAAAACTGTATATAAGATTTTTGAAGAACTTTGGGCTTCTTACTTAAAATATATTACTGTCTATATCTATATTCCCCAGCAAAACAACGGAAACATCATATTTTTCTTCTCGAAATTCCCATGAATTTTAGAGTATTTCTTGGTATTTTCAAATTACCCGGGCTTGACAAGCCTACAAAAAACCGCTCCTCCTACATTGGTGATTCATCTCTGTGATTGGCTATATCTCAAAATGGGCATGTCTGAGCCCTGTGATTGGCCATTCACTGATAGTAGCAACACCTATCAGCCAGTACATTCAAACCGCTCAATTTCGAATCTTATACACAAAAAGCCGGTTTCGCCACAAATTGAGAGTTTATCTTAATGTGATTGGTGAGCCCAAAAGGGGCGTATCCAAGCTATGTGATTGGTCAGTCAGTAGAAAGTTCTCTGATTATGGGACAATGATCCAGAAAGACTTTGTCGTCTCTTTGAGCAGATCCAGGTTTTTGTAGTATTGCTTTTATTTATATTTTGGAAGCTGATATATAGCTGATATCATGAATAGGGATTTTTTTGGACCCAAATTTTTGAGCTACCTTAGAAATTTTGATGGAGATGATGATTGTTACTTTGCACATAAGTTATCTTGGGAGTGTTACAGTACATTCTGTGAAGTCATAGTTTCACAGTCACTTTACTGATAACACTTATGGCTACCGTATACATACCGTACCCGTACAAAAGTTACGGACAAACAAAGGATTGCGTCAAACATACAGAGCTGGAAACAGTAGACATCCTGATAAATACCGTACCCTTAAACATGACTAATCGTTTTAAAGCGCACTAGACGAAAGTAAATGGTTACCGTACCTGTACTGTAATTTATACAGTAATCTCAAGAGCGCTACATCACAAAAGGCTGGGAAAATTTTTTCTGCTCCTGATCAATAGCGTAACCTTAAACATGACACATTCTTTTAGAGCCGCACTAGAGACGCTAATAAATCCGTCCTAATCCGTCGTCGGTCTCGGTCGGCTGTATAACAAACCCGTCGGGTCGCGAACATCGAGATTTGCCAGTGCGCTGCGCGTCCGCGCAACGCGTGCTCTCTACGCGTCGCGCGGCGTCTTTCAAGTTTTACGACCCATAGGGTCACTGCGGTTCTGTTTTGTACACACATATCAGCATCGTCTGTTCTTGGCACAATACTTCTTCTGATTACGCAAATGATCCCGTTTGCACGAAGGCCAGAGCAGCAGGGAGGGATAGTGTGTAGGAAAAATCGCTGAAAACTGTTTGAAGAACTTGACAGACATGATTGTCACGATAGTCTTCTTTTGGGGGGTACGGTAGGTATACGGTATGAGAGTCGGAATGCACGTTAAGAATATTTCTACGAATAATGGTACTGGGATGTGGATAAGATTGTTGAAAACTTGTTTCAGGTAATTTGCCTTGCACGACAGTTTTCTGTAAGGATACGGTAGCTATACGGTATGGGGGCCAAAATTGGATTTCTGTTGACTTTCCAATGTCAGTTGTTTGAATCTCGTAATGCCAATCATCCAGATTTTCTAAGCGAGCTTACATACTGGTCCAATCGAACACATAAATAACCTGACCAGTACTTTCTTTCTGAAAAATTTCGAGGCCAAAAAAAATCGACTAAATTTGCAGATTGTCGTTCTGATTTTTATTGTTACGAAATATTTTGCATATCACCAAAACTAGTGATGCATTTATGAGCGCTTGCGGAATTCCGGTTTTTTTCTTGAAAAATGGAAGTATTAGTTGGTTTTCGCCATCGAAAATAGTTTAGCAAAATGGAAATAATTATTACACATATTTCCTTTAGATCCACTGACCAGTTTACGTTAGACAAGGACTTTGTATTTGTGGAAATTTTTTATCGCAAATTTTCTAAAAGAAAATTCTTAGCTTAAGTTCACAACTTCCTCCAAATTCAAAAATTTATAGAAGTTAAATCAAACGAATTAGACTTTGGAAATTTTTAGGGAATACAGAACAGGTTCTATTATTGGATTTTCACGGAATACAACTTATTTCAAAAACAGTGCAATCATTTGGCTTTCTAAGATTTTAGAGGGAAGTTTTGACAGATTTATAGTATCTTCAGTTTACTGAAAAGTTCGCAGTAGGAGGGCAACAGTTCATCTTCCCTCATCCGATTCCATGGAAACTATAAAAAGTCCATAATTTTTGGGATTTCGTAACGTCTTGCAATATATGCAAAGCCTATTTCTTCTATCACTCAAATATTCGTCCAGATAACCAGCTATCCAATTTCTTGTGCAGGAATGCACATCAATCTGTGTTCCTCGAGCACGCTTTCATTTACTCATCAATTTTTTTCTTAGGAAAATGACTACGTATAGCCGCGAAACGTTTGCACGCAAACGCTGAAGGTGAACTCACAATTCATTCGGCATGAACATGCATTTATCCATCAGCTTCTGCATTCATGTGTTTTCGCAGTAATAAATCAGCATGTGGGGAGCTCATACGGCTACAGTAACCCTAAGCGGAAATTAGTATCCGCTTAGGACGCTGAAAGCGCTTAGGAGGAGAGAAGCTGGAGAAATTCCCCTGTTTTAGGGAAATTCCTATCCTTTTCACGTGAATCATAGCAAGAGATTGTGTATCTGTATATGTGTAAGTGTCTTATGTGTCTAGCGAGGCCACAGTTCGCTTTTATGAGCCTAATAAAATTCTCTGCGCCTCCGCACGCCAAGGTGCTGCGACGCGTCATTCCAGGCGTCGTGCGCATCCGCCACCGGCGCGCTATCTCGTCCACTGGCGGCGACTTCAAATCGCAGCCCGCCGAATGTGCGTTATTTATTGCGTTTGCGAAAGGCCATTTCCACATTTCCACTAAACGCGTCGCCATCTAAGGAGGAAATTGATATAGTTGCTTGGTTGGTCGGTCGGGGCCCCGTCGTCAACGTCGACGGCTGACTGACTGACGCCATAGAAGGAAATGGGGACATCTGAGAACTTTGACGAAAAGCTTTATTGTAAGGCTGAAGCATATTCAAAGCTCTTGGGTCCCAAATGGAAAGAATAGGATGTACGATAGCTCTTAATGAATAAGAAAAAAGTAATATTTGAAAAAAAACTTTCGTTTTGAAAATGGAGCATATGCGCTTCTCGTCGGTCTAGAAACGAACAACCAAAGGGTACGGTAGCAAAACCTGCTCATTATAACTTACATGGCGAATGAAAGAAGTTCGGTCCAAGAAAGACCCTGAAACCGAATTTAATTCAAAATTGAACGAAAATAATGAATAACAGCAGTTTGGAAGATTTTGTTGTTAGGTTAGGACGTTCTCGAGCTCCTGGGTCCCGAAATGTGAATTCTGAATACGGTAGCTCTAGGATTCATTCAGGAAATTCTTACATACATTCTCGAGAATTACAGATTGCGAAACTTTGGGAGTGTAGAAAATTTGGTTCAGGTAGTACACATTTTTTCAATAATTCAAAATTATTGAATAATCAAGTAATTAAGAAACCTTATTGTATGTAAAGCACTTGCGTTGCTTGGTTCATTCGGCGCTGTAGGTATAGTGTAGCTTGAAGTCCTGTAATTTCTAGAATCAAAGGAAGTATTGTCAAGAATTTGTCTAGAAACTATTGTAGTTAAATTGGACCATTAATAAGGCGCGATTCATCTAGAATAATTAGCTTGTATAGAATAAGTAATAATAAGAAATAATAAACACGATTAGGAAAAGTAGCAGACAATTATCACATGAATGAACAGAATCAAATTATCTAGAAATTACAACATTTTTAGTTTTCAATTCTTTTGTTTTTTTTTCAACTATTTTCATACATTATATGAAAACACTAATTTGCTTACACTTTGAATATATGTGAATAATAGACTTATACCCCAGACCGTCCAGTTTAGACTCCTTTCCACCCCGCCTGCACTTAGAACGAAGCTACTTTCTTAGCTTAAAAAGCTCTCTATTCCAGGTGTCATCTTTCCGAGCCTGTGACGCTCGACGAAAAGGCCTCGACCGAACACTATTCGGACATGTTGCGGTCGTTTTCGTTGACGAAGTGCAGCCATTCCTGACGGGATGCGTGGCGTTGGATAATCAGGTGGGCAGCACATGATCCCTTTTGATGCCGGGTCATGGATAGTAAGAAATTCTGGGCTTAGTAGTCAGAATGGGTCATACAAGAAATTTAGGCTTGAAAAGAATGGACTGTCTTACATATAAAATTGAGTGCGTAACGGTATTGTATAATTGCCCTTGCATTCCTTAAAAAAACATATAGTGTAATTGCAGTCAAAGTATAGAAGACGACATAATTCAGATGCAAAACAAAAGTCAACACGTGCTGTGGCCATTCAAATTCGAAATAGCAATTTTTGTTTGAAATACAAAATTTGGACCATCCGCAGTCTCGTCCAGAATATGAAGTGCTGTAATTTTATCCTTCGAGGTATCGTGAACAAATTCAAAATTCGAAACGTTAATTTTCCTATGAAATTTGAATCGCCGTAGTCTCCTAAAGTCCAGTGGACGAAATCGCACATATCGCTGTAGGCTGAACACACGCGTGCGCGCCTGCAACGCGACTGCCTAGTACGGGCGTTATGATGACTAATGCGCGAATGCCTGTTAGCTCGCAAGCGACGACACGCTAGTTCAGGCTTCGCGATTCCGTACAGTCAACTAAGCTTTGACTCAATTTGCTTGGCTTTGGGAAGGCGGGGCTTTGTGACGTAATTAAGGCCGCTCGCGCCCGCGACGCACCTGCATCTCTCTCGCGAGAGTGCTTACTGATCACTAGCTGGCTTACCCGGCTCCGCCGTATCCGGACCAAACTTGGCACACATACACTTCGGACCCCGGCGGGTGTCACAGTCCACTTTTCGTTATCGATCGATGTCGATTTTACCGATTTTTATCGATTTTTTTGCAGAGTTCACCTACAGGGCTAGGTGTTGGCACAGCTGGGAAGTGAGCATGGGGATTCCGAATACAATATTAGTTTTCAGAATTATCGATTACTTTTATTGATTTTATCGATTTTTTGTAAATTTTGACATGCGAGGCTGGGATTTTGCACAGGGGGGTAATCGAGCATGCTAATTACGAACACAATATTAGTTTTCAGGATCGTCCATTACTTTTATCGATTTTATCGATTTTTTTGTAAAGTTTGACCTGCGGGGCTGGGAGTTTGCACAGGGGGTAATCGAGCGTGCTGATTACGAACACAATATTAGTTTTCAGGATCGTCTATTACTTTTATCGATTTTATCGATTTTTTTGTAAAGTTTGACCTGCGGGGCTGGGAGTTTGCACAGGAGGTAATCGAGCATGCAGATTACGAATACAATATTAGTTTTCAAGATCGTCCATTACTTTTATCGATTTTATCGATTTTTTGAAAATTTGAGCTAGGCGCTGGAATTTGGCACAGGGGTGTAATCGAGCATGCTGATCACCCCCCTTGGGGATGATCAGCATGCTCGATTACCCCCCTGTGCCAACTCCCAGCCCCCTAGCTCAAACTTTGCAAAAAAATCGATAAAATCGATAAAAGTAATCGATAATCCCGAAAACCAATATTGTATTTGGAATCCCCATGCTCGATTACCCTCCTGTGCCAACTCCCAGCCCCCTAGCTCAAACTTTGCAAAAAAATCGATAAAATCGATAAAAGTAATCGATAATCCCGAAAACCAATATTGTATTTGGAATCCCCATGCTCGATTACCCCCCTGTGCCAACTCCCAGCCCCGTAGGTGAACTCAGCAAAAAAATCGATAAAAATCGATAAAATCGATATCGATCGATGACGAAAAGTAGCCTATGACACCCGCCGGGGCCCGTAGTGTATGTGTGCCAAGTTTGGTCCGGATCGGTTCAGAAATGGAATTTTCTATTCGGAACATACGTACAGACATACATACAGACAGACATACATACATACAAACAGACATTCAGCTTTATATATAAGATTAGTTAGCCTTAATTAAGTGCTCCGCGACTTAATTAGGGCTCGGCACGAGCTGGCACCAGGGAATTTTGAAAACGAAGTCCCCTTTGAAATTTGCCAATTTTTACGAAGTCCCCCTTGACTTTTGGGAAATTTTACGAAGTCCCCTTTGATCCTCAACGATATCCCCTCTAAAATCCTAAAAAAATCCCCAAAATCCCCCAAAAAACGAAACGTCGACTAAAAAAAAAAAAAAAAAAAAAGGTCGTCGCCACCAATTTTGCGTATGTCTTCGCCCACAAAAACGAAACCCCCTTTGCTTTTTGCCCCAAAAACGATATCCAGCTTGCCCCGTGCCAGCTGGTGCCAGGCCCTGCGCGGAGCCCCGTCCTCCAGAAGCCAAGCCAGTTGAATCAAATGGTACACATGTATGCACATGAAAACAATCACTTTGCAAATTGAATTGCTGCTAAATGTTTGTTGAGAAACGGGAAAATATAAAAATCTCATGCGAGAAAAAGTATGTTGAAAATTCAAAGAAATATATTTTCTCCATTGTACGATACAAAAGTTCGTAAACGGGAAGCTAAACGATGGTTTTTACTTTTGTCAAAATCTAGCACAACCTAGAAATAGTGTTGATATTCGAGGAACCAGAAATTTCAACTTACCTATTTATTGATTTTTTAGTTAGTTTATCTCTAATTGTATGTAATGGAAGTAAGGTCACCTTTGATTTGAATCAGTTCGCTAGAAGATGAAAATGAATAAAAAGTAGAGATTCATTCAAACACTGTGTGTTGCAGAAAAGTTCTACGTAACAATGAAAAATTCTATATCCAATTATTTGAAGTTATTCAAAGCATTTTTTTTTGTAAAATCCAAGTAGTGGATGAACAAGCAAACTTTTCAAAAATTGTAGAAAAAAGAATAAAATCTCTGTCTTGTTCTTGTCTTTGGAAGAGAAGTTTAGTCCATAAATTTCGAAATTTTCTCGCATTTGGTGCGCTTATTTATAGAATATTGGAAAAAAGCTAAAAATTGCCAGTCAGTTTTTGAGCACACCTTGCCCATTCGCTCTTCGATTCAAACATAAAAGGGTGACCTGGACCCCGACGAGATAAATGCTACGTTTTTGGTGTCCTTGAAAAGCAATTCTGCTGCTCTTTGAAAAGAAACGAATCTCAATGGCGATCGTTCGGGGCTCCACGTTCTTAGTCGCAGCAGATCGTTGCCTGTGCTGCTGGCGCTATCTTTATAGCAATCGCAGCCTCATAATGGTCAGTCATTCACTTTTATGGTATGGGAACGCAAGTCAGTGCACGATAAAAACAGCCAAATTTGCACGGCTGAGCAGATTGTAGCTGAATTAAGGGAGGGGGAAGCGAAATTATTTGAATTCTCAAATTTTGCCTTTTTTAGGCTCGATTTGCTGAAAAATCTGGAGCACTAGCGCTTGTGGTCGGACCTGCTTCAAGAATCCAACGAAATCGCAAACCGCTAAAGGTAAGTGACTTACCCAGGGTGAAGAATCATTAACCGAGGTTTTTTTTTTCAGGTTCGAGCTTCCAAGATCCCTGTTATTGTGCTGGACGACCAAGAAACCCAGCGGTTACGAAACCAACTTGCTGAAGCTGAACGAAGTGCTGCTGTGGCTCATCTCCGACTAGATTTTATCGATACAAAACCGCCTCATGTGCTGAAGTTACAGGTAAGGGTTACTTCATGGTTTACCCGGTAATGGTAGTAGTTATAAAAAATAACTTTGATTATGCCTGTCTAGTGTAAAAATTACATAGCACATTTACACTCTTATTCCTATCTTTTTGAACTCGAAAATTTGAACCTTGAAGGGCAAACTTTTAATGCGGCCCTTTTGCACCGCTACAGTATGGTACCGTATTTGTATATGAAGCGGCCACCGCATTTCTGAAAAAAAAACAGGAAAACGAGCTGAGTCATGAGCAGAATTAGGGAATGACTATTGAATGGCTGAATCCCAAAAACTGTAGTAATAGTGGTAAAGGTAAAAAGGCTGATCGAAGGGAACGGTGGGTATACTGTAAGCTCTTGGTTCTTCCTCGCTCCGTGTTCGAATACGGTTCAGATAATCTCGTTCCCATTGTATGATTATCTCATTTGTGAAACTTAAAAGACCAAATTTGAGATTTGCAGAAACTGTGTAAGCGGCACTTTTGCTTCGTTATAGTACGCTAACGTACCCATACGTGCAACTGTGCGACGAAATGAACCAAATCGGCCACATTTTCTCCATTTTTAAGCAACGATCCATGGAATTTCTTGCATGGCACAGTTTACTTTTATAAACCTCATAGCCGCGCAGGGTTACGGTAGCACTACTGTAACTCTGTAGCTCTGTACAAAAAATTTACAATTGCGATTTTTCCTGCTTTATATGTAAAAAATCTCATAAATTAGATAATCAACAAATTGTAATTCAATTTAATGAAGCTAAATTAATTGCATAAATTTATAGGTTTTCCGCCCAAGCCTTCTCAACCTTTCGCTTATCGGCTTGCTTGTCGTTCTGGTCCTGTTCATCACCTTACTGGTTTTTGTAAAAATACGGTGGCGACCTACAGTACATCGAGATCTTTGGCTTAGGACCTTAGCTAGAGCTGCAGTCGGAAAGATGGAAATTAGAAAATTCCAGAAGGTATTTTATTACAAATCCAACTTTAACTACAAAATCTAAGTATTGGCTCCATTCCAGGAACCTTCACGACAGCGTCGACGACCATTTGCACGATTACGACGAGTACGATCAACATATCTGCCAGTTTTTGGATCATTAACCTCTGTAGCTAATACTGCCAGCTCCCAGGTGGGTAAAAAAATTTCCCAGATGTTTGATTTTGGCTTACCCTAATTGTTTTCAGGAGCGTTGCTCGATTTGTCTTGATGAATATGCGGAAGGTACAGAACTTCGGGTATTGTTCTGTGGCCACGAGTTCCATCCCAAATGTGTTGATCCTTGGCTTCTATCCAACCGACGATGTCCATTATGTCAATTTGATGTGGTCTACAAACAGTATCCCAAAATGGAACCACCCTCGAAATGTCGACAGTGAGTAAAGACATCTTCCCCGATCGATAAGATCAATTATATTGACCACAGTTATCATAGGACACCTCCATCCACTGACAACTCCCCATTGGAACCGTTATTGTTATCATCGGCACCAATAATGGAGTCGCCACGGATGGCTAGAGATCCATCCGGAGCGGAGCAAGTACCACGATCCTCGCAGGACCCACTTCAGGTCGTACGAGATGTAGCGGCAGGTCGTGGAAGGAGGGTAACTTCAAGAGCCCGGTCGTTGCCCAGGAGGCGTCCACTTCGACCACGGGAACATGTGGAAACAGCCGTGAGGCTTGGAGGGTAAGGATATGCACAAGTTAATTTTGTAGGAAATTGAATTTTCACAAAAACAAGTGCAACGGTACACAATGCAGAAACACTCTGCGTCCAGTGCCACCGCGCTTACCTGCCTGCGTATCGTCTGTTCCCATACTCTTTCTCTTGTACTTTAAGCCGCTGGAGAGAGTGTGGGAATAGATGATGCGCAGACAGCTAGACATCACCGCCTCAGTGTATGCGGAGAGACCTCGCTTTTTGTGGAAGAAGGATCAAATGAGAATAATAGATATTAAGTACGGAGTAATCAAGATGTAGATTAGTATTTGGTTTTTTTGGTTTTTTTAAATTTTTTTATACACAGACAATACTGATAAAAATTCTATTGTTGGAATTCGCATTAAAATTTGCCATTTTCAGCTATTCTTCAGATGTCTCATCGCGCTAACCACGCCCACATTACTCGCTCCGCCCATGCCACACATGCCCAATCTACTCACTTCCGGTTCTATTGATCAGTATTTCACAACGGGTTACAGCACCTCGATTCCTGGGTAGCTCTTTCTTACATGCAAATAATCATATTGTCGTCATTGTCGCCACTATTTCCGTAACCGCGGTCAGTACGCTCAATCCCTGACCGCGTTCCTCATTGACCGTACGTGTTGGTTCCTCTAGAGAAAATATAAATATTATATACTGCCCAAGAAGCGACCCATGAAGAGAGCAGCGAATTCTAGTCCTCATCGACATTCACACAAATTTTTTTTCCTAATTTTTATTCTGACTAATGTCTTACGGTAGACGTCTTCACAATTGTTGATCTACGTTATGCTAAGTATTTTGCATAGCAACACGTACAAAACAAGTCCTTAGTCACTTTTTCTTCTATGTTGGAACATTTCTATTTTCTTCTTTGATATCCTATGCTAATTTCAATGATTTGTACATAATTGCATGATTAATGTATTGTTAATAAATCTCCACAAATCTCAACAGTTGTCCACAGCAGTAAAGACCAGGCAGCAAATAGTTTCAGCTTCTGTACCCAGATTTTTGCGATCTCGGGACTGAACTGGATATCACACCATATAACCGTGGCGAAAGGAGATTTTTTTATTATATAAATTGCATAGATAATAATGAGCCCGGTCCGAGACAGAATACGTAAAAGTTTAGATCCAAGAAAGAATGTAGCCTTCGTTTCTTACGGCAAGGATAAGGTAAATGCTTTCTTCATATTAAAACCAGATCATTGTAAGTTTCGAAGGAGTAATATACGATTGATGGTATGGATCCTATAATATAAAAAGTAATCCCATGAAACTTGTTAAGGAAGCATTTACCGTATCCTTACCGTAAAGACAAGAGACGTTTTTTACGATTCACGGTATTGTTCGTTGATTTCAATGATATAGAAAAAGTATTCCATGAAATTTGTGGATAAAACATCTATCGTATCACTGATAAGAGACTTACATCCAATAAAATAAGAAAAAGTTTCAAGTGCCATGTAAGATCAGCTGTGATCTCGTACCTCATCTTTGAATAGAGCATGTACTGCTTAGTTAGATTATAAATTGCTTGACAAAAGTGGTTCAAGAAAGAAGGTCGAATTGTTCATTGAAGTTGGAAAATTTTCTATTTTTGTAATAAGGTATGGCTTCGACTTTTTGGCAGACTCCATAATTTTTGTGTTATCGGTAAAATTCGAGTTAAAAGATAGCACTTACAAATTTGGATCTTGTATAAAGATGCGTGTTATAAGCATACAGGCTCAGATACTGGATTTCACAACCCTGTTTTCTGATCACTTACTTCCCATATCAGATTGAATTTTAAGTTTGTATCAAAGGAGAATATCAGATCAGTTGAAGAAATAGAAATATCAGAAATAGAAACTCAAAAAATCATTTGGTGCACATGTTTTGATTAGAAAAGCTATAACCTTACTAAGGAAGGGAGTTCAAAAGGTCAATTGTAGACAGGTCCGTGTCTGTCAACTTGCGAAGAGAATAACATCAAAAATCAAACAAAAAATCATCTAGAAGTTGGAAACTTTGTTTAATAAAAGGGACGAAACGGTGAATATCTATAAACTTTATATTTTTCTCTTTTTATTCACTTTCAGTTCACTGTACTGATACTTGTTGCAATCTGCTATTGCAACATCTTCGATTACGATTTTGGACGGTGAAGCACCAAATATTTATTCCAGCGTCTGCTGATATCGGATTTCATCAAAATAAACTTCATTTCAGCACCGCAAAACAAGCCCATAACCGTGACGCCAAATCATGATCATTTGTTAAGTCAGCACCTTTTCGTTTTTCCCCAATTTCACACATCACAAATCTTGCGGATCCTCTATCACGGTCACCTACGTTCTTTGGAATGTTAGTGAAAGAATCCTCTCAGGTTCCAGTCCATTGCACAACATCTTTTGCATTCGAACCCTATTCCAGCCCTATTTTGAAAAGAACTGAATGGAGACTAAAGAGGACCTCAAAAAACTGCATTAACGCTGCTTAAGTGCCTAAGACTTTCTACTGTTGAGGGATTTTTGTAAAAGAGTACTCAGAACTACCTCAAGAAACTTTCGCCTAGTATTCATTGCGATTTTTCATCGTATTTTAGGGCTTGAGGAAAAGTAAAAACAAAGAAAATATCCATAATTTGCTCAACGGAAATTAATTTTAATGGCTTGCTACTAGCTGTCTCGACTTCCGTTAGAGTAGGTTTTTCCTACGAAATGTAGAGTTGCTGAACTAGTTGTTCAAAGTTTCAGAGTGTGTAAAAATAAATGAAATTTACTTTATAAGCACGAGATACTGGTTCTGGTTTTTTCTTATGTATAACGGGCAATAAGTTTGAGAAAATTGTTCAAGAAATAGCCTTGCCTTCTATGCATGTCATCTGGAGATACCATTTGTCATTTGAAGACTAGAAGTGGCCCATCTTCTTATATGTAGAATGCCTGTCTGGTACGTTGGGTATAGGCTGTAGCAGTTTTCTTTGGTAAGGGTAGAGAGGATCCGATGGTGTCTTGAAAATTAGGGATCCTTTGCAAAATTTGCGCGTAAAAATGTTTCCTCAGACACGATTTTTGTTAATACAAAACTTTGAAAAAAAGTTCTGATTATTTATAAGTAAAAATAAGTCATTTGCGCATTTCCACAAGCGAATAGACCATCTACAATTATTTCGTTGCATAATCTCGTGCAGAGTGGAGGTCCCGCTAATGGATATGGTGGGCAGCCTTTTTTCACGATTTTCACATTTTGGATAACTGCATAAAGGGCCGGGCATACTTCACGCGATTTGAGTCGCCACGCGATTTGGCAATTCGCCAGAAGTCTTCAGATTCAAATCTAGCAAATTGCACAGGCACAGTGTGTATGACTTACGTAGATTGATAAAATGCCCTATCTTCTGTACATTCAAAATGTGCTTACAGTGAGTTATGGACAGCTGGAATATTGCCAAATCGCGTCGCGACTGAAATCGCGTGAAGTATGCCCGGCCCTTAAGAGAAGTGGGGGTGCGCACCAGATACTATCCATCCAAGCGCACTCTTACTAGATGATCCTTATGATTTTAGGCCCAAGGCATACCTTCTGTATACGAAATCGTTGAAACCCCGCGACTTGGCACTTTGCCAGATCTTTACGGATTTACCGTGCGAAAATTTTACATGCATAGGCACGTAGCTTTTGTATATTGTCACAAATGCATCAAGCCTTAACCAGCAAAGCGCTTTTACTTCCATTGATGAAGAGTTGTTACCGAATCGCGCAGATAGTAAAGACATAAGCTATGCCTTAGGCCTTAGGCTTTAGGCCTTCTGGTTGTGAGCAGCAGGGTAAGGCATCCGATTTAGGCCGGCTATTTGAAGAGCGACTCATATATTCGGTTTTCTACTGTACGCTCATTCTAAAGCTGTTATGGGTTTCGATATGCTGTTGAGAAAATACTCAACATGGAGAACAGTCTGCATGTGAATAGCCAAAACGACTTTGATTAGCCCAGTACAAGGTTTTTAGTTTTTCAGTTCCATTTCTGAGGCGAAACATCGCTTTCTATGGCCTAAAATCCTTCTCCAAATTCTTACCGTAATCCTACAGTAAGGTAGAGTACCTAATGAACAGCAAGCGGTGAAGAAGGAATGAGAGGAAGAGAAGAACGGGATAGATGGGCATTGAGAAATCACATCAGATTGAGTATTTTCATGTGAAGGAACTTGGGGCCAGTGCATATGCACTCAAATGATACCGTAACGCACAGAAAGCTGCTTTGTAAGTTGCTTTCAGACAGAAATCTGTCAGGATGCATTTTTTACCAAAGATATTTACAAAAATGGTTATTATATACGTATATACAGAATTCAGTCACTATATCACTTTCGACTTCTGAAAGCTCATCGAGTTCCTCGGTTGACGGCACTGGCGACATTTTAAGAAATTTGGAAACAATGTCTCATTGGAAACCGCAAAAGTTACGATGCACTTTTCTGTTGTTCATAAAATTAAGGCTTGGACATTGTTTGCAGCGAACAAAGAGTGGACAAAAGAGGAGAAACAAAAAGCTAAGCGAACAGCAAAAGGCGAAAAACGATCTTGCAGCAAAGAATGCGGTTTTTGCTTAGGTATTAGCAGCTAGTGCTTAAAATGAAGATATTTTTGTAAGGTCTGGTAGATATGAGGAAAGAAAGAAATTCTGACTTCTTTTTCCAGTTCCACTGCCTTATTAAGTCACAGTTCTATGAGTCATCTAAGGCAAGAATATTTTACCTTCATAAGTTTTCGTACTTTCTATTGGTCATTTTGCGATTCTTCACAAAATCTTCTCAAAATTACCTACAGGTTTGAACGAGCTGATTTTTTAAAAAAATAATTTGTCTGAAAATGCATGTGAAACTACCATACTTAAATATCGAGCTTTGGTTCTCTGTCCATCGTTGAATGGCTAAGACTGACCATGTACTAGGGCTGAGATCAACTTCGACTCAAAGTACCAAAACACCAATTGCTCCTCATTATTGTAGAATAACTATGGCTCATAAGAGAATGGGCCAATACAGCCTAATTCTGCTTTGAAAATGACTCCAAAAAATTGAAAATCCAATTTGAATTAAGGTTGCTGATTCCAAACATGGACATTGGACTCAATCCTACTCTAGTTTAGAAATTATGCCAGACACATTCTATTTACTTCCCGATCATCAAAATTCTAATCACACTTTTTGAACTTCTTGGAAACGTACAGATTATTTGGTAAACCAAAGCTCGAAAACCTTACCATAGTTCTCAGGTTTTCGAACTTCTCCGATATGGTTGCTGGTTTGCAATAAGGCTAGTCTGCTAGCCTACAGTACCGAATGAGAATACACCCATGCTTCCTTTTAAGTTGAAGACAGCGCTGTAAAATGAAATCTGGAATTTATTTGAAAACTTCAAAAATTTCCGCGATCTCTCAGTGCGCTCCTGTATCTGAACTCTGTACTATTTGTCTTCATTTCTAAGAAATTTTACCAGTGATGAAACAAATAAAGAGAAGCATACAAATTATTCATACAGATTGCTGTTATTATCTTGACTAAACATTTACTCTTATCTGCTACTTGATATCAATCTTCGGCACTCAATTTCCTGATTTGCTGGAGAAAATATCAAATTTAGGATTACATATGCTTTGATTGGTTCTGTTTATACAAAAAGATTTTTCTAGAAATGCTGAAAAATGCTGCTCAAACAATGTTATTGTTATTTTCTGCCACTTTTCTTATCACAGCCGCTGACAAATCGATAGCAGTAAAAGGAGTACTGAAGTGTGGAGATTTTCCAGCTATTAAGATTTTGATACGACTGTTTAGTCTTGATCCATGTGAGTGAGATTCTAAGGCTTCAAAAAATTTTGTTGACAGAAGGAAGTTGCAGATGGCATCGACTTCATCGAACAAACTCATTCTGATGATAACGGCACTTTCAATATCAGCGGAAAGAGCGAACTGCTTACACAGTGGAGACCATTGCTCAGTGTACATCATGATTGTGATGATGTGAAAAAGGTAAAAATCATTATTATCATTATCTATGCCTTTAATTATATAAAGTACTTTTTAGCCTGGACGACGAAAGATAAATTTTCTTCTTCCAAACCATTACCTCACGGATGGAGCAAAGGCGAAGGTCCGTCAGTCCAAGGACATCATGAATTAATTGCCAAACTTTAGACTGTTTACGATCTTGGTGTATGGAATTTGGAGACAGTCATGATGCATGACGAAGAACGAGTGGAGAAAATAACAAGAAGAAGACGAAGAAGAACTGGGGAAATACAAATGTAATGGCTCAAAAAAGGATTTGAGTGCTAGTCGATACACTTTCGATATATTACTGCTTGCTTGTAATCGTGGAAGTTGATAATTTCTATATTTTACTTTTTGTTTTCTCTCTAGAACGTGAGCAGGTACAGTCGAGTAGATTTGTCGATAGACATATGCTCTTAAGTTGTCGAGAAAATGCGATAAATTTTGCGCGTGAACAAATAGGTGCGGGTGAGACGCCGGTCACTTGTGCGCACAAAATGCCGGCATTACTGGCTGAGCTCACTGTTGCGCAAATTCGACCGCATTTTCTCGGCACCGCAAGCACACTATATTGGCAAAAATCTACTCGACTGTGCATGCAAATAGGGGTGAGTGAATGTTTCGTATATTTTAATACTATTTATTGATTGTTAACAAAAAAGGTCGTGACGTCTAGCGAGCAGTGTGCAATAACGTATTAGGTTATAAAATATTCGACTATAAATGAAACGACTTCAGAATTCACTCCTACTGCCTGTTTTAGAGCCGAGAATCGTGTCCGTAATACCACTGCAAGTGCACTTGATCGATATGAAGAACCAGACGAAAGGGTTGACCCATGGTGAAGAAGTGGATATCGGTTTTGATTGAGACTTACGATTGTATTTTTCTAAATGTTATTCGACCAACTGTTAACGTAGAAAAATCCACTATTCAATAAATGAATGAATGCTTTTCTGCTCTTCTCAGTTGTTCTGGGTTTGTTCGCTTGGAAACATTCCAACACCATCAGAGAAGGGTGTATGTCAGAAACTACTCCATCTGTAGAATAATGAAATTCAATACTTTATCCGCGGCTGCAGTTCGGTAGATCTTCGGCTTTGAATGAAGTCGAGTAGATAGCACTTCGTAAGACCAAAATTGTAAGCTGTACGTAGCGACTCTGCTTTGGAAAAGATTTGATTGTCATTTGCTGATTGCCATTGCGGGACTGATTTGTTTTTGTATCTAGTTCTTCACCCCATATAGTGTCGAACTGAAACGTTGATCTCGGAGAAGTAATGTGACAAAACTTTGTTAAATTTGTTCTCTAGACTTTTTACTATTACCATCAGAGTAAATTGCAAAAAATCGAGACACAGAATTCAACGTGGAAATTTTTGCAGACTGAGTGGCTATTGCATCTGCTAGTACGCAGCTTCAGATCAGACAACATCAAAACATTTTTCTTATCAGTTGTTGATTTAGTCTCCGTCAGTCGATCAGTGAGGCACGCTTGAATATTAATCCAATAACGCCACTTCTTTTTCCACCACTTTCTTTCTTTTTCGTAGATTAAGGTGCGGAGAATCGTCAAAGTATAGAAATTTGGAATTGTAGTTTTCAAACAAATTGTGTAATTCAAATATTTTTTGAGATGAGTCAAACTGAGCGAATATAATCAAAGAGCCTGTTGGCACTTCTCTTTGACGGAGTATTGCTTTTCCTTTTTGCTTTAACCTTGGATATGTAACAATTTCGACTACAAACAATTTTTCGGTGATTGTCTCGATGTTATATTTCAGAATATGCTGTTACTGAATTTATTTATACTGTCACTCGTCAATTTGTCTCTTGCATTCCGAAAGCAAGGAGTGGCTGTGAAAGGAAAATTGATCTGTGGTGATAAGCCTCTACGGAATGCTAAAGTCAAAATATATGATATAGATAGAAGTAAGTCAGGCCGGCTCAGCCACTTACTACTTCTGCTAATGAAATAATTTTCACCAGCCATTTCTCCCTTTATTCATAATTTACATTCTTTGAATAATGATTGCCGAGTATTTGGGCAATCTAAATGCTTTAGCCCTACTTTCCCCCACAGTTCGAAAGTTCATTTCAATGTATTCATTTTTTGGCTTTGTGGATTTTTTGTTTTACAATCATATTCCTCACCGTGTAGTATGTTGTCGATGAAAATGAGTTGTACAGATCCCGGAGATCGAGACGATTTACTGGATGAGAAGTACACTGACAAAGATGGCGAATTTGCTCTTACTGGAACCACCAGAGAACTGACGGATATCGAACCGGTGCTTTACATCTACCACGACTGTGATGATGGTATTAGGGTAAGCTTAGACAATTTTCTTCATGACATACCTGCAGGCCGAATAACTGCCTCCATGCAGGCAGTTATTCGGCAATTCCTCGAGCTAGGAATTTTAGGAGCTTAGTGTTTGGAAATCGCAAACATGGCGAAAATGAGAAGCCCAGAATCATTCATCTTGTATTTGGACATGTGTTGCATGTACGGATCTGGTGTTGCGCTGAAAAGGAGGGAGTGGGAAGGGGGGGGGGGGAAGCAAGAATCCTTCACACCAAAGCTCTTCTTAAAATTTGCCGAGTCACTGCTTTCAGACCATGTTATTACGTGAACATGGTACTCTGAGGTTTGCCGGAATGTATGGTTCGTGAAACAAGAATATTTTGATTTGGGTAGAGGACCATCGCCGAAAGGGGGTCCCCGGGTCTGCCACAGACACAAATTTGTAGCAGCTGTTCGAGCAAGGGGGAGCCTGTCAGCAGTCCCCCATCCTTTTGCTTCCGTAGAAACTCAAGGAAAATCGGTTTGGGTCAATCTAAACTTTCCAGATTTTTTTGTTTTCGATCACAGGTCAGGGAACATCTGGCCGACAAGGTACTCGGTATCAATCAATTCAGAATTTTTTGCCTTTTGGTATGAGCGGCTCCACAACTTTGGCGAGGCGGAGCTGCGCTAGCGTGCCTTGCGTTGCGGTTACCCTGTGCTGAGGCATACCTGATCCATCGATCATTGGTGAAGATCACGATCCCGCCTCGCCAAAGTTGGGGAGTCGACAATAGCTTTTTTCTCCAGTCTGTATGTCTTAGTGATGTTATGTTTATAGTTTGCTGGTACAATTACATAATATTGTCAAGACTCCACTCATTTATAGAAATTTTTGTGTCCGAAAGAGCGCTGATGCCCTAAGTTTGCTACATTATTATTCTAGATCACCTAGATCAAGTTCTCAATCTTTTGATAATCCTTATCCGAGAAAACACCATCTCTTAAGTTTACGCGTAAGAGTATCGACAACTCCAAAAACTGATTTTTATTGTAGCCGACTCTTTTTTATCTTGCATAAAATCATGCCAAATTTCCATCATGGAACATCCATGTTTTTGCTGCACTTATGAGGTTTGTGCTTTTATCAATAGGATAGATCTTCAAAGAAATAATTTCCTAATACAAAGCAGCTCGAATATAGCCTAAAGTTTGTCTATCCGTATTGATATTCATTTTTTCAGATACTCAGAATAAATACTCCGAAAATTAGCGATTGCTGAACGAAGACAAGTTTTGGCTTATATGGAAACATTTAAAATGTTCTTGTTTGGGAGGATAATCAGTAGAAGAAGAAAGCTGCGTCGAATGCATGTTCGAATAATTTGCAATTCCATATCTTTGTATGAGGCAGCCTTTCAAAGGAGTGCACAAAACTTTTGAGGCAATCTGATACAAGGCAATAGATATTATAATGTTGTTAAGAATCTATCTGAACATGATACTATCAGATCTAGCAGAATATCTTTTTTACTATGAAACAAGAACTTTGTAATTGAGTAAAGTGAATCAAAAACGAAAATGAGACAAGTTTCGAAGAAAAAGCGTTCGGGTCTGCTGTTCTAGTCACAGCAGTGAGGAAAAAACAAGAAAACCGGAAAAAGTTACTCGGGGGTTCGGACAATGCGCTTAATTTCCGTGTTGCGTTAGGACGCTGGCAGATTTGTTTTTACCATTTTTTTCTTCGAATTTCATATCACCAAAGGAGATGAAATATTTTCAGCCTTGCCAAAAACGGATCACAATGATTGTGCCGAAGCGGTTCATCCACGGTGGCACACCCAAGGAATGGTTTGACGTTGGTGTGCTCAATGTCGAAATGACCTTTCCTGAACAGGATCGAAGCTGTAATCATTGATCGAAGTGAGCATGCAAATCTATCTGTCTGTACGAAAAGCTTTCCTTTTTTGTTGTTGTTCAAAATTACTTTGAATTCATTCAAAGCTTTTCTTTATTTTTTGATTTGTATAGAAAGTAAAATATCCACTTATCAAAGAGTGTCAATAATTCTATTCGCTTTCTACTTTACCTTTCAAAGATAACATAATAAAGTTTGATGAAATATTGAGCACTCTATCCTAATGTGGTTTCTAGTTTGGGGATCGCTTAATAACTTGAAACACATAGAAGATATTTTAAATTTTTTGGCAGAGTTGTTTTTGCTCAGAAAGTGGAGTATCCCAGAGTGGAATTGTAACTGAAGCAGAAGATTCACAAACCTAATCAAGTAACTGCCGAACGTTTCATGTATCTAATTATTCATGGCTGGAAATTGCACAAAGCTGGAAAGATGAAAAAGACAAATCAAGCTATGCTTGCTTTTCTTCCCAAAATCTATGACCAGACTGTGCACTTGACCGAGCAAGATTTATCAATTCGAAATAAATGTCAGATGGATCTGTTTGTATCAACCACAAATCCAATATATATCTCTACCTAACTATCATCAAGGAAGGGTTCTACTTATACAGGGTGTCCCAAAAAATGTGAACACTGTTTGATAGTTAATTACTCTCTTGCTTTCAAGTCTTTCGTCGAGCTTGAGGTATCATTCTGTATAGCGATTCTTAACTTAGATTACAGTATGGACCGAATCATCAATCACCCTTTATTACTGTGGCAATACGGTATGAACTTTAAGAAGGATTTTAGGAAAGCGAAAGCGACTTTTGCCTCGGAAGGAAAACCAAACAAGCCAGAAACTCTTGTGCTGAATTAATTGAAGTCGCCTAAATATGAATTCTGCACTTCACTTAATGCTTCTTTCATGAGCTATTTCAGGTAGGGGAAATAGGGAAATATCTGTTTTTAGGGAAATATCTGTTTTTCCAATGTTCGCCAGAAATGTGAATACGCCACCAAGCAAGCTCGAAAAACTGGTGAAAGGTTATGTAGTGAAATCAGCACGCCTGACAACCTTGCTCACAAATTTTCAGAGCTTGGATTTTTTTTTATCAAAAGCCCTCTTCCACAGAACTTTATGCTGAAAGTTCCTATGGCAATCTTACCGTAACAAAGAGTGATTGGTAATTCGGACCATACTGTAAATCTAAGTTGAACCTCGATCTGCAGAATGTTACCTCAAGCACGGCGAAAGACATGAAACAGAGTTATTAGCGATCAAACAGTGTTCACATCTTTTGGGACAGATATATAGAAGCCAGTGGCGTACCGAGGGGGGGGGGGGCGGGGGGGGGGGGGGGCGCGCCCCCCCCCCCCGAGAATGGGTCGCGAAATTTTTGAAAGTTACTTATAAGGGTTATAAAAATGTGCAAATGACTTGTTCATACTTGTAAATAATTAAAATAATTTTTAAAAATTTTTAAAAATTCAAATTAGCCTTCTAAAAAAATTTTTTTCGGGGGCGTGGCTGACGCCACGCCCCCTTTTTCCAGATTTTAGGGGTTGGGGACCCGCAAAAATTTTAAGAAGCACCCCTAAAATTTTTTCGGAGTGCGTGGCTAACGCCACGCACCTTCATTAGAAAAATTTTTTTGTCGCGCCCCCCCCCCCCCGAGCCGAAATCCTGGGTACGCCACTGATAGAAGCATATTTCACCGTAAATAAGGTCAGCCTAAAATTGCGAAATTTGAAAAATGGCTTTTTCTGTTCAGTTAAAAGTAGAATTCTGTGTTAGCAGAATACCGTTTTCCTGCTTAACTCCTTATGTTCTTTTCGCTCCAATACGTTCAATGTACAGCTGGGTACTAACGATGAAAAAGCAATTTTCTACACATGTCTTGACGTACATTTAAGATATATAATGTATATCATGATAGTAAGAGTTGGGAATTCTCGTTAGAGATCGTCAATGTTTTTTGATGCTGCGAAAATTGGATTTCTAGTTAGATTTACGCTGCATACTCGTCTCAACAAAAAAAACCATGAATTTCTTAAGATTAAGAGTTGTTTCGTAGTCGTCACACCAGATTAGCAGAGCTTTACATCTTTAATCCGCGCAATTTCTTCGTTTTTTCATCTTATTTACAGGGACTTGCTTCAGAAGCAAAGAAAACTAGCTTAGACATTGATTCTCTATATCTATTTATTTCAATATATTATTGATCGTAAATTCCATGACAATGATCAACAAATGTGTTGAATACTGCGAGCAGTTCTGATACCTGTACATGCACAAAAATCGTATAAATTGTAGAGAAGATACATAACCACTCTCGTCATAAACACACATAGTAATGAACACACTTAAATTTACGGCATACTGCACCGTATAGCATTGAATGAAAGAATATGGAGTAAAATACAATATTATACATCTGTTGAAGTACCAAACTAGCTGGCTAATGAGTCAGCGTGTCGGCAATTTTACGGTAGGTGCTTGTGAACCAGTCTGAGATCTCGTTCATCGTCTGAAAACAACTAATCAGTCATACGTGAATTATTTCTTGGAAACTTCATTGCGCATGCAACATGCAGATAATCAATCGATATATTGATTTTCCGCATCTATCCATGCGTGAAAATGAATGATTTTTCATTATATCTGGCAGGCCATAACTTGCCTGTTGTCGAAACAGCGTTTATAGTTCAGTCTGCTCATAGCGCGATGTGTGCAATTACAGTCCAAAAGCAATAGCGCATAAATTTGATAAAAAAGGAGCGAATGAATCACAAGGGTTTTTTTTAATTTTCCAAGCGACAAGCAGAACATTTTTTAGCATTTTCTCAAAAGTTATATGCATGCAAGTGCCCAAGGAAGTCCAGTTATTGGCGCCAGTGTGATGTTGTGTGCAACTGCACAAGCAGCGAATTGAGTTGAAGCGGAAAGCACTTGATCTTAGATCATTTCATTCCACCTCCATATGCCTTCGAGAATCATTTAACAATGATAATGAATGATGACATTTTTAGCTTCAGTCAAATTTTCTTACCTGTTCCGCTCCCCATTCTTTCACCTTCGACATGAAAGTCGATTTCACTTTACGCCACAACTCGCGAAGTTTGTTGAGCGTTTTACATTTCCAGTCGCATTCCTAAAAAATGGTATTTTTGAGTGTTGCTAGAACGAGGAAAAGCGGTATTTTGTAGTCACTATCAAAGAAAACTTGCCTTATCAATGACGTCACATTTTATGGGTTTTGTGTCCGGATCGCAATCCGTGAGAATGGCTATCTCTTCTCTGATGTTACCGAGAGAGGAGCAGTTGAACAGAGGATTTCCTTGTATGTCGATTCCCTGAAATGCATAGAGAATAAATAACATTTGAAGCTCATGAGAAATATGAGGGAACATCAAAGCTAGAAAATATCCTGCATTCGTTTATTTTCAATTCTATGCTAAGCAGCAGATAGAATGCATTGTTTTTGTTTAAAATGGAGGCCTTAAAGGTTGTCAGCAAAGGCTTTGAAAGCTAATCTTACCTGAAGACTAGGAAAAGCTGCTTTGAGTAGCCCAATTGGAGGCAGCTCTCTCAAATCGTTACATGTGAAGGCTAAACGTGTGAACATATGTAGCTTTTAAGAATATTGTGACTTACTCAACCAGTGAGGTTGAGTAAGCGAACTTACCGATGTACTGGTATCCGTTCAGTTCCCGGCTGGGAATCTCTATCCTTTTTCTGTCACCATTTTCACAACGAATTAGGGGGCTCTGCTCATTTTCTTCACATATGCAATCATCCAAACATGGCAAGATTCGTGCAGAAACTGAAAAATCAGAAAGAATGAGTGACACGATTTCTGATGCTCAAAAAATACTTTCATTTGAATTTGAATGATGTATTACTCACAGCTAATTTAAGTCATTATATTAGCACAATTAAAATTCTTTTCTTCAAAAGGCTCAGTATTTTCTACAGACATACCGCTCAACACTTTTTACAAAAGTTGCAGTAAGTGACAGCTGTGTAGTCTCAAAATGATGATGGCAAAGGAATGACAATGGAGGACAAAGAAATATCAGAGATTTTTGCAAATTTGTTATTTGAAGTTATTAGTAGATGTAAAGAATTCTTCTTCATACTAACCGTAACCATGTAGCATGGCAAATCGAAAAACTCCAAATATAGTCAAGACATTCGTAAATTAACATGTGAGTTTGCAGACCAGGTTCTCAGTCCCAAGACTCTATAATTGTAATTAGCTTGTAGAATTTCTTATGCAATAAACCTAGAACATGATCAAGCGCAGCTTTTGCTGTACAAAAATGCAAAAACAGGACAAATTTTTTAAAAAATTATGAACATGTAAGAGCATGTTTCGGAAATGCCGCTAAAATGTATAAGACTTGAAAGAAATTGCTGATGACTTGATCATAATCGAATCAGCAATGCAGGCAATGCACGATTTGCGGATATCACAGCGGTGCGGCTCCCTGTCTCTTTTCCAAAGCTGTTTCCACAGTGCTAATGGAGCTTTGCATTGTGTGCTTCAATGAATCGCAAACGATTTGGCATAATTCTTTCAAAACTGTTTTGCACTGCTAGATCGGCAAGAAATGTTCCACTGCTGGCGCCTTTTTTGGGGAAAAGTTTGTGTCACATACTCGTGAGTTGTATTTGCGTATCAGTGATCAGCTATAGGTAAACGATATCAACGACTTTTTGCGCACGGTCATTCACAGAATCACCTAAGTAAATAGGTCAGGGTATTCGGTGAATCAACCGGTTGGGAAAAATCTGAGAACGAACTCTGGTAGAAACATCATTCCATGTGCTTTAAACTTCTTAATTCTGGAATGAAACCGCAAAAACTGAACAAGCACGTTTAAAGAGAATTTTACCGCCTGCTTCGTTCCCCATCTTTCTCGCAACTACCGTGACTCAGAGCATATAAGAAAAATAGCGGAAGCTAGATTCAATCGAGGCCTCTTCACATGATGTGCGCAAAAAAACTGTAAAATGCTAGAATAAACAGTAGAGCTCGGACAAAAAGTGCAGTACATCCAGATTGTATGTAATTGGATCGGATTGGGGTATCAGCTTACTTTGTAAGCGTTTTTTGGTCAATGAAACCTTTATCGGAAAAACAGGATTATTGATTTGAGCATTATGATCCAAACCTGATTTTTGCATAAAGGGAAAGATCTAAAACAAAAAGAAAAAGGTACTACGGATTTATTTATCAGCTTGCCATAGATTGTATAGTGGCTGAATTCACGTTAAAAATAATTTATGCCATTCGTACGTAACCCTACACCTACATAGATTTATTATCCAACCCATAGATGCAACGGGACTGAAAAATCTCTCTAAAATGTCCTATAAGTCTGCATTGAACCTTTCGCACTTGTAGTACAGTCAAGTTGACGAGGAAGGCGTTGTGAACAAATATTTGCACACAGTGAACGGGGAAGCACCGAACAAAGTTTACGACATGTTATGGATCTTGGTTAAATAACATTCAAAAGTCAGACTTCTATTAAGATTGAGCGCTACAGCATCCATACAGTATTTTGTAGACGCCATAATTACAGTAAGAGCTGGACACTGACGATGAGTACCAGAACAGCAAAAACCTTAATTTGTTGGTGATGCCTGACCATTTGGAAGAATGTAATTCTCAAATTTTCAAAATTACAAAGCGAGATAAAATTGTAGTTCTCAGAAGTGTAGTAGCTAAGATTTTCTGAGCATTCATGGAACTTATACATTTATGAATTCGAATTATGTCATAGCGTTCGTCCTCTTATAATTTGTTGAGAGTTTCAATGGCAAAACCTGACAAAAATGATTAACCAATACTTCTGTATACCCCTCCTGGAGGTGTTGTACAAAGCTTTGCATAAGCTTTATTCAACAATTAAAAGATAAACCTAAGAATTCCGCATTGTATATTTTATGCAGGAATCGACTGGAGCAGGAAAAGACAAGCCATGCTCTTCGAAAAATTCTAGGTTGCTTCGCAACTCTTTGCAAGCCTATAACCCAATTCAAAAGGAGAAATTTTCAGATTTCAGCGCTATAAAACTATATAAAGTACTAACAGAAACAAGTTAATAACACGAGTAGAATACCACCTCGAAAATTTTCGCAACTCATTTTGAACCGAGTTCCCTGAGTATGAGACCACTTCATAACTTGACAACAGTGGCGAACCGAGGGGGTGCGAGAAGGGACGGGAGAATGGGTCGCGAAATTTTTAAAATTCGCTCACATGGGTTATGCAAGTGAGTCGTTTATTCTTGCAAACAATCAAAATAATTTTTAAAAATTTTTTTCAATAATTAAAATTAGCCTTGTGAAAATTTTCTTCAGGTGCGTGGCTCTGGCCACGCCCCTTTTTTCTACACTCTGGGGGTCATGGGCCTACAAAAACCTTGAGAAACAATTTTCTAATCCCAAAAAAAATTCGGAGTGCGTGGCTGAAGCCACGCACCTTCATTTAAAAGAAATTTTTGCTGCCCCCCACACCGCATGGAGATCCTGCGACCACCACTTCTTGACAGGTATTCAGTTGAGTTGAGGTCCCTTTACAAGCGGATTTCTACTAAATCGTGAGCGGTGAACTCGTCAGGTATGCATATGATATGATCCAGGTTCAGGGCACAATCCCTAACACCTTTCTCTCTCAACCCCCCCCCCCCCCTCCCGGCCATCCCTCTCTCCCTTTCGAGAGAAATTCATTATTTTCTTCACCTATGTGTAACTCATTCCAGTGTCTGTCCACTTGAAACGCAACCCGACGTGCACGAAAACATCTCCATAAACGCTTTGAGGATCCAGTTTCTCTTCAGCATGAAGAAATACGAACTGTCAAAGAAGTTGTTTTCTGTGTGCGTGCCGTGACAAGCGAACCGACGAAAAACCGCCCTGTTAGCGAGCCAGAATAGCCACGGCTATTTACCCGGGTCAAAGCGTTTCGGTGTGGATTCTTTGACAGCAGCATAGCCAAAACAAAGGCTTAAAAATGAATGCGCAGTCAGCTGTGGCGGCGGCGTAGCAAATTATTCGTGGAATCCGAGCAAATCCGGTCTAAAGGTCACTTGAATAAACATTTGACTCATAACGATGACGAGACCGCTTTTTTTCGGGACTGGATTACTAGATGTTCAACAAGGGTGAGGGGGGGGAGGGAACAGGGCGACAGGATAAGCTGGTGCTTAGAGTGAGTAATCGCGCATGAAAGAGGGCCAGAACTAGTTGAAGGAAAGATAGCTATTGATTTTGGTGGGATAGATCGCCTTACAAGGTCGCAAAAATAGAAAGAAAATCCTTTTCGGAAAGGCTGACTCAGAGACTTAACTGCAAGCAAATTCCTATATGGCAGCTCTACAGGAATTTTTCGTGGACAAATCAGAATTTCACGCTCAGGACTCAATGCGTGAAGGTTTTGAAGCAGGCCATTCTTACAAAACTGTAATGTAAAATACTGGTGAAATTTTCTAGAAGCCGCTTTCCACAACAGTTTTGATCAAAGCAAATGTCTGACACGGTGGCGCTGATTCGTGGTAAAGCAAAAAATTTTCAGGTAGTAAGACGCAGTTCAGATTTATCTTTTTAGGATTATTACAACACTTTTTCGGCGTCAAAACTCAAAATTTCAACTATCCTTTTTATGCTTAACATGTAAAAGGGGGGAGATGTCGACCCATTGTTACTAACAGGGCTCGGCACGAGGTGGCTTTCGGAAAATGTACAAGACGAAGAGCTCCTTGACTTTCGCGAATTTTCACGAAGTCCCCTTTGACCCTAAGCCCTAAACGTAAAAAAAAACCTCGAAAAATGAAACGCCGATTAAAAAAGACGTCACGATTTTTGTGTCTTTTCGGCCTCAAAAACGATACCCCCTTTGCTTTTTGTCCCAAAAACGATATACAACTTGCTCACAAGCCACCTGTGTCGAGCCCTGGTTATTGAGTTGTCACAATTTGCAGTGTTTGATTTTCTTCCCACATCCACTGAACTATGTGGTGAGGGGGTGAAGGGAAGGGCGTGTGACAAAACCTATGCATTTCATTTTTTTTCTATGCAAATGTCATTTAGAGATCATGTGGTACCTTTTACTTATACTCTCATGATTCAATAACAAGGCAAATTCACATAATCTATCTAGATCATTACCATGAACTTTGATCCTCTACTGTACATCGAAACCAAGTCAAAAATCAATCGAAAAAACTATGAATTCAGATTATTATGAATCGCTATAAATTAACTAAAAGTGCGGTGATATTGGCAAAAAGCGAAGATCTCTCCAAAAATTGGATCATGGATCATCTAAACTGGAGAGAAAGTAGAGAATTTTTTCATGATTTTAATTTGATTTTAGTAAATAGCTGCATGCTGAAAACGGACAGATCTGGTAAAAAGGCCAAAAAATGAAAGAAGTGAAGTCTATTCTGGATGTGAAAATAATTTTTTTTACCTAATCATGCCAGTGGAAATCTTTATTTTATTTGATTAATTATTTTACTTATTTTCATAGTTACAGCTCCATTTTTCGGTCTACGAAAGCAAAATGTAGAATTTATTTATTTACTTATTTATTTACTCAATGCGCTTTTGGCGTTCTTGAAAAAGAACAGAAAAGAATACACAGTTACTCATACAACCGCCATCAAAGTCCATCATGAAATTTGGGTCCAAATTTTCAAACTGATCAAAAACTACGAGATATTGGCTAGTTCAAAAAACCCTCCTATACCACGACTAAACCGAAAATTTCCTTTTTTTTTCTTTGGCAACATTCAAAGAGAGCCCACACCGGTTCGTCCGGTTTTCTATTGACTATATGTTGTTATCGAGAACTGCTCTGCCTGTTCACACATCGCTCATATTCAGGTGTTAGATTACCTATGACAGAAGCGTAAAGCCAGAACAGATCGATCAGGTTGCCTTGATGGTGATCGGAATGGAATCGATCAGGAGAACATGCTTAGAGTGTAAGAACAGATGGAATGGCACATGAGATGGCTTTGATGAGAACAGCTGGGATCATGACGTCATCAGGGTATCTTTCAAAGGAGTTCCAAATAGAAATTTTTAGCATAAAACTCATATTATTGATGTCTCCTAACCAAACAGTGTTAGAAATGAAAAAAAGCTTGACCGATGAACAAACAAAATAATCGGAAAAAAAATCCAGCATAATAGGAGATGATCTTTAATGTTCATTAAAGGACTCACCAACAGAAAAGACGAATAAATTTATTAGTAGAAATCGAAGTGATTGACTCGAGGTCATTGCTATATGGTCGCGCTCGAATGAATGACTGACTCTGCGGTCGGTTGGCTGCAGCCTGTCGTCGTCGACCGACCACCGGATCGCGGGGGGCGGGGTGGAAGGGGAGGAGACTGCGGAGAAAATAGTAGGTGGTGGGAATATGAGAGAAGGAATGACTCAGAGGGAACAAAAAGATTGTTTTATATTGCTGGAGATCCTTCAAACTCACCAACCTTTTGGAAACTATTTTTGTTACGGTTTTCCGAGCAATTTGAGAGAAAGAATAAGAAACAGAATCAAATGCATGTTGATTTAATTCCACCATTTGTGAAACCTCAAATACAGGGTGTTGCAAAAAATCTCTCAGCTATTTAACTTTCGAGATGAATTCTCCCTTCGATTTCGCAAAATGTTTACGAAGTCGCGGCCTTTTTAGGGCGCTCACTGCATCAAGAGTGAATACTAAAGCAGATTGAAATAGACCATGATGGTCAATGATAGATGAAACATTTGCCACAGCGCGCTTTGCGTTCGGAGCAAAAATGCGCAAGCTTTGAAAATTTGTAGGGACCATGAAAACGTTTTAAGAACGCAAAATTTGTCAATTTGAAGGCAGTGGATCAGCAAAACGCACCCTTCTCGGATTTTGGTGGATTTAGGTAGTAGACCCCCAAATACACTGTAGCCCAAACCCCATCTGCCAATTCATGCGCTAAGTCCTAAAAAATGCGCTTCAAAACTCCACCACCCCGCCCATTCAATGGAAAGGGGCTACAGTGTATTTTGGGGTCTACTACCCAAATCCACCAAAATCCGAGAAGAATCCATTCTGCTGATCCACTGCCTTTAAACAGTATTCGTATATAACGTCAAGGTTGATTACCAGTCGGGTTTTGTCGAATATTGAACAAGTACCAGCAAACTTCTTTCGACTAGTAAGAGAGGCGGTATCTTTAAGACAGAAGGTTATCGCGGAAAGGCAACTGTATGTGTTTTTTGCATTGTTGTCTACAACTAGAAATAACCCACGTTTCCACGAAATTTGCGGCTTTCTCAAAGCCTGTTAAGAAATTATGAAAATAAAACAACAGCTTCTACGAACAGGGCTTAAAGTTGAACAAATTCATTTGTTCAAAGAACGATGCTCTTCTACCTGACCAGCTCTGGAAGATTATTGTAGATCAATCTATACATGTTTGTAACAAGATCCATCTCGTCAAAGACACGCTTACAAGAAAGTTCAACATGTTACACCAAAAACACAAGCAATAAGATCACAACAAGGTCTGTCGCGTCTCGCGATGCAAGGCGCTCCTTGAAGTACGGAGGCCGGGGGCATCGGTTACCGCGCTAACCGGCGACGGTTTCGACAGCCGAGACGCGTGTTGCCGCGATCGCTTCCGGACCTCTCCTTAATTGGCTCCTTGCCAGCCAGGCGGCTATATAAGGCGGCGGCGCCTCAGTTGGGTGCCATTGTTCGTCTTCGTCTTTATTGATTGATTTTGAATATCGTTTCGAAATATGTTTCAGCCGCCTTGCTCCTGTCCTTTTCCGTAAGAGCAGTTGAGCCGGATGTTCTTTGGATTGGAAAACGAATTCCTTTTTGTTAGCGCAAGTCAACGCGCCTAGTACCAACCGGAAATCATCTACAGGAGCTGGAGGGGACGTGCCGTCGTCTAAGGGCCTTGGCGTTGCGCGGTGGATTTGTTGCGCGAACCCTCGAGAGCCACATGTATTTTGAGTTTGTTCACAAACGCGCATCGGTAGCATGGGACGGGCTCTCGTCCCGTGTTTAACTTAGTATTAGTAGTTATTTGTTTTTGTTTTAGTGTAGTATTCTTTTTTATCTATTTTAACTGTAGTTTAGTGCCATAAGGATAAACCACTTAATTAACCCTATGTTCTGTTCAGTCGCGCGTTAGTGCGCAATAGGCTAGGTACGTCGTTTATTATCGGGCGAGCATCAGGCCTCGGGTAACATCTAGGTGCCATGAGCCCACCGAGTCGCCACAAGGTCAAACATGCTAATAGCGAAATTAACAACAGAAACACTGATAACGCTGTTAATTCTGACAAACGCAAAACATCTCGTGTCTCCATAATAGGCGGTTTTTGTCAATAGACGCGTTTTCTCGAACTCTTTTTTTGTCATCTTATTGTTTTTGGCGTAACATGTTAAACTTTCTTGTAAGTTTTTCTCCAACTCAGCCTAATGGTCCTAGAGTTTCGCTTGAAATTGTCGGCAATCTTCAGTACGTTTACGAACAGCTAGTCCTATGCCTGACAAAAAGGATCAGACAGCAAATAAGCTCGTAAGCGGCACATCAAAAAGGCACTCGGCTGATTTAAGAATTCAGTTATCAAAAACATGAAACTGAACTTCTCGCAACCATTCCTTGAAATGGCAGACAATATAGCAAGTAGTAATAGGTTTTTCTTTACAAAAGCTCCACAAATCTTGACGTTCTGCTGCTAGACGGGCAAGCTTCGAGAACCAAAAGATTTCGTTCTGCCTACCCTTCATTTTGGATAGAACAGTTCGGGAGGTTCGCAAAAGCTTAGTTCAAGCCGGATTAGAAGATATGGTAAGGGTGCCTCCAGTCTTAAGCAGCAGCTGATGCGCAAATCGCTCCTATGATCGTCTCTGCAAACCAGTGCTTGCTCAATTTGTTAATATGTTAAGAGAGAGATTGTATGGTACCCGACATCGATTTATTATTCTACCAGGCGACCTCTGCTTCGCAGAGGTTCGCACTGGCTCTACTATCCATATGCCTCCATCGTGATCGCATAACAATGCTTTGAGACTCACCGCGCAATGCTGAAAATTACAAATGAATTGTAAACAGCTGCTCGTTCTCAAAGCTTTTCCATGTATGGTCGGTAATTTTGGGAATTTTTGCAGAAGAACATATGCGGATTCGAAAGGATTAGGATTTATTTTGACATCATTGTTCACATAGTGACAATAAACAATACGGGCTACATCTCTGTGCAAAAATCTTTTCAATTTGTCGGGACCCTGACTAATCAACAATTTACGCAATCATTCCTGCGCTGTTTTAGCAGAAAAACAGACCTTTCGAGCATTCTTTGAACTAAAAATAACTCGCAAATCTTCCTGTTAGACAAATACATGACGTTGCGAGAATTCGAATCAGCGACAGTCTTGTGTGCCAAAGCCGAATGGCTCGCTCTAGATGCGATTTTCGAAGGACCCGTGCGTCCGATTCATTCGCCATTGCGCAGTATGAACCTAGACGCTGCCGGCGTGCACTATGTATAAATTTGGCTCGAAACGTGCTCTGCAGCTCGCTCTACAATTTTCGGGACAGACAGACAGACAGACATGCACACATGCACAAAAAGACAGACATTTGGAGCTTTATTATGAATGATACCAATTGGTTGAGCTTCAGAATCTAAACAGAACAGGAAGCTGTTCTGTGCTTATGTGATCAGAATGAGATAGTTATGCCCTGAAAATATGTGAGCAAAAGGTCGTGTTCGGCTATCAAGGGAATGATCAAAAGTCGAAGTGGCCCTTATAAACAAGCTACATACCATTCAATTTAGCAAATAAATTTCGAATCTGTTTTTTGTATCTGCTGAACGTATTTGCAGCCAAACTTACGAGCAGTTTTACTGCAAAAATATATAAAGATTGCAATAATATATAAATAATTCAACTTATTATTACCACTCTAGCTCACTTTCAGGTACCGGCTATATGAACTAGCCTAGCTGCATGTTTTGGTCCACTATCAGCCGCACATGGCTCTGTACGGTCGAAGGTGCCCCTGACACACACGATTTCTTAGCAAAATACTGGACTTTGATGAGCTATAACTTCGTCCACAAAAGTGTTCAGCAAAAAAACAGATTTAGAGCCAGCGTTTCATGCCGTCCAGTGGTATGCAGCTTGTTTGGAATGGCCACTTAGATTTCTGAACATTCCCTTGTCAAAAGGTACCCCCTACAGGTTCTAGGTACGGAAGAGCAGAGCTTCCATTCACTTAAGTTTTCATAGATTTTTCGGTCAGAGTTCAAGTTCCCTCAGGCGCATGTGACACCAAAATGGTGTCATATTATTGCGTCTGGTTGTAAAAAAGGCTTTTAGCTTGATGCGCGATTTCTCCTCTGCAACTTCAGATCAAAAAAAATAGGAAATAAAAAAAATTATGATTCTACCGTACACTTTATTCAAATATATGGCCGTAAGCCAAAAAACAGTGTTCCCAGAATTGGTCAAAAACATGGTCAAACCGCTTCACAATGTACAGGGCTCCTAAATTGCAGAGTCGCTTGCACCAGCGGTCGCGCGATCGCGTCGCGCTCGGGCATCAGTGGCGCCGCATCGATCGATGGCGGCGGCGCCGGCAAAATGCACGGGCGTGACGCGCTCGCGCGACCGCTGGTGCAAACGACTCTGCAATTTAGAAGCCCTGTATAAAAGCTGAACGTTCCTTGCTAGGATCAGGGCCTCTAAAAACATTGAATTGTTTCATAAGTTCGTAGAGTTTGCATTCTTGCCTTCATTTTCTTGAGGAGTGGTCTGTCGCCAATGGCTAGAAGAAGAAGCAATAATGCTAGGGTTTACCGGTATTTCTTTCCTATTTTACTTTAGCACAAACCACTGCGCGAGCAAGTTTCAGACGCCAGCTGCGCCAGATGGTTTTGGAATGCGTTTCAGAGGAGGGATCTAATCTAACCGGATAGTCGAGAGCCAAATTGGTATTTTGGTCGGCCTGATGTCAGTGTCTTCATTTTTTCTTCAACAAGGCATTGCAATTTTTCTTTGTGTAGTTTCAGAAGGTAAAACCTAGCAATTCTCATTTTATCCCTGCCTCATTAGGCTTTATAGCAGTTCATCAGTTTTCATGCACACAAGAAACGAAATTTGATGTACCACTTCGATGATAATTGAGCTCATGACTTACAAGTGTTTCTAAATGAGCAAGATTCACTTTCGCAAACATTTATCCTCATACTATCGTCAGCAAACACATTTATTTGACTAGTTGTTATTTTTGAATTTCATTTTTGTTACATTTATCTTGTTCGTCATTTTTGTCGTTCACTCTTAG